GAAACATGAATCATGCTTCTACAAAGTATTTTGAAAATGGTTAGTGATTTTATATAATGGCGCGTTTCTGTGTGAACTATGGGTAAATGTGATCATTATTTCCCCCTACGTAAGCACTAATATCATAATGACATTAAAAATTGTGTATGTCTGTGTGCAGATCTTTTTCTCCCACGCAGAAAACAACAATGTTCAACTGAATGTAAAATTTTAAAAAGATATTTTCAAGAAGAAAAAAATCATATATGAACCCCCAAAGATTTCTTTATTTCAATACATGTAATAGCACCTTCTAATCTTGTATTTGTATGTCAGTTTCTGTCCTTTAGTTGTTGCTGTTATGACAGACACAGATACTGATTCAGGGGACAGGCAGTTTAGACAGCTTTTGGAAAGCCCACATCTTGCATCCTAGTGCTTGGGCTCAGGTCCTAGCCATGTACCCAATTCCAGCTTCCTACTGATGCATACGCTGAGAAGACATGGCGGAGGCTGAAGTTTCTGGGCTCCTGCCCCCATGAGGGAGAGCTGGAGTGAGTACCGAGCTGTAGGACTTCCCCAGGCCCAGCCCTGGCCCTAGGTACACATCTGAGGAGTGAACCAGCAGGTTCCCCATTTCTTAAATTGTTATTCAGGTATAATCTGCTGTTCAGAATAATCACTTTAAAAAGTGTACGTGATTGGAGACCATTAGAAGTTTCTTCTCCCCTCTCCTGGCAAATCGAGGCCAAGAATACACAGTTCCACATTTTTTTAATGACTGATCTTGTTAGAGCCTTTTTTGGAAAAAGAAAAAAATTCCTCTCCTTGCCTTTTCCCCCCTTTTGTCTTCTCTGTTGCGATGTTGCTTCTAGATTGAGCTCGTTCAAACCTTGTTTAAAACCCTCTCAGTTGCTTTGTCGTTTTGTGTTCCCTGTTGGTTGGAATGTTGCCTGCAAACCGTTCTGGCTCCTGGATGCTTTGCTCAGAATCCCAGCAGGAGAAGGAAAGTCCTGGGAAACACTGCACTCGTAGGTGTTCATTGCCGTAGGTGTTCATCGCCTCTCAGGCGCCCTGAGTGCGTGCGACTTACGTTACAAGAGTGAAAGGGGACGCAGCACCATTTTTGCTTGAGCAGGATCAAGGTTCCATGCTTCTAGGAAAATCGTGGAAAATCCTCCATTATTTTAAGCAACATTTAGTCAGCTTCTTCCCCGGGCATTAAAATTAGCAAGTCTCACTCCAAGGTACAAAAAAGATGTGAATCTGCAATATTCATATTGAGAGTTGCAGGGCTGCACCCTCAGAAAAGGCAGTTGCAGAAGAGTGAGCTTAGCAGTGGATTGCAGGATCTGTTTGATTCATTTACCTTTATCTTTGACCTCTGTGTTTTCTGTTTTGCAAAACTTAGAGAAGGACTGGGCCTCTTGGTCTCCTTATTTATAAACAGTCTTGTCTCAAACCAGGAGAAACAAGAATTAGATGCCCTCTTGAACAGCACATCAAAGGCATTGTCTAATAAGCTTGACTGCTGCTTTGCTTCATCACAGTACTGCTGTTGCCCAGGGTCAAAGCCCCCTTGGCTGGCATCTCGCCAACCACCGTGAGCTGCACAGGCTCATGCTTGGGCAGCACCGGAATGGAATCCCTCCAAAGACCACGCAGTGCCGGAGACTCAGGGCTGGTGAGTCAGCGTCTGGCACTGGCTCCAGAAAGGAGCAGCCAGTCAGTGCCTCAGGAAGGTGGTTCTAGGGCCCTGTGTTCACGGGGGTAGGAGTCTGATGCTACAAGTTGTTTTCTCTTCCATAAGATGGCAAATGGACTGCCTGGCTATAACCATTCAACCTGGTTCAGCCAATTTTGCAAGAGAACATAGGTAATTCCCATTTGTATTCTTCTGGTCCCATGAGAATTTGTACCTTAACCTTCTTTGGCAGAAAGTGTCTTCTGAGATGCCTTCTAAATGAAAAGAGTTAGCCCTTTTGGTAAGAGAATATATAGAATCTGATAGCCCCATTCTGCTTCCCGGGGGTCCCTTGGCAGAGGGCCGCCCCTGAACACCATGCTCAGATCTCTCCGTGCCCGTCTCTGTGGCTGCTACATGGGGTTGACAATGCATGGTGCAGAGCCAGCGCCCCCGTGGCTCGATTCTCAGCTCTTGTAAAGAATAAAGGAAGAAAAGAATAGTATCTACTGTGTGTTCCTAAGAAGATAGATGCTAAATAAATTGTCAACATTTAGAAAACAAACATAAAACACAACTCCCAACCTCTTCCAATGCTCACGTCTTCGCAGTATCTGTTAAATACTAAAATAAAAACAAAACAGTGTCAGTGTTGCCAGCAGTGGTTCAGGCAATTGTAAACTCCTGTCCATGGCCACAGGAGAGAGCTGGCTGTGCAGGTAGATCTGGAAAGAAAGTGCAGGTTGGTGCAGCACAATTAAGTGGTCCAGGGCCTGGAGAGGATGCTTTGGCCTAGCTCATCTTCTCCACTGCATAAGGCCGCCTGACAGAGTCTCTCTGTTTACAGTTAGGATAACTGTGATGATGGGGAGCTTTGACTTTGCCATTTCCTGTCCCTTTGAACTTGAACGCACTCTGTTGGAATGCTGTGCCTGCTCCATTTTTTTCACCAGGTCCACCTTGCGTTTATCTCACGAACTCACTTCTAAGACAGTGGCGCGGTTGTTGTAGATCACACAATCTTCTCCCCCGCCCCGGGTGCTGTTACTGCGTGCCCTGACATCCTAGGATAGCTTCTCGCACTTTGCCAACTCCAGGATAGATGCTGCTGCACAGACCCATTGCCCCCTGGGTCACTGATTCACACCCAGTCTCCTGATTCATCTAAGGCTCTGCCGTCTGCCCCCACCTGCCTGTGGGAGCTGAGTCAGGTGAGTTGGACTACCAGTGAACGCTCAGAAGCCACACCCTTATTTGCAGAATCATAAAGGACACTTGGCAGCGACTAGTTCAAGGGGAGTGTTAGCAGCTGTCTGATGAATTCTTGTTACCCCTCTGCATGTCGAAGGGGAAAGTATTTTGCGTTTCACTTAGGAGCCCAGAAACGTGAAGTTGATTTACGTTAGGGCTTTCTTGTGTGTCTCTAATACTTGCATAAGCCTTTACCATTGAAATGTTTCCTCCAGCATCTGAGACTTCCACGACACTAACTACAGTCCCCTGTGAGACCAGTTTGCTCCTCATTGTCCTCTGATAAATCCAGCACTGTCTGTCAATCACCCTAATGTTGTCAAAACCCCGTTCAGAGTACCGGCTGCCGTGGGCTGCACGTGATCCTGTGCAGACCCGTCTAGTCCTGCAAGCTGGTGTCTGTCGTTCCTTTTGCATTCCTGCCATCACAGCCCGTGGTACTTAACTGTGTCCGAAGCTGGCCTCTCCCTGCATCCTTAGTCCTGGGTCTTGGCACAAGGCACTCACTGGTCAGGGTCAAGCTGTGCGAAAGGTTCAGGGCTCCTGCTGAGATGGGAGTTGGTTGCTGAGGGTGAAACAAAGTCACAAATTAGTTGGGAGGGACAGGCTCTCTAGATGGGCTGAAAAGTGTCCTCAGGAGATGAAAAAGGACACGGAGAACCACTGACTCTTCTCCTGCTCAGCTTCCCAGGCTGCCCCCCCTTTTTTAACTAGCCTTTCCTCCCACCCCCATATGCACAGTGGCTGTTGATTAGCTCATGAAATTATCTGAGAAACAGGTTTGATCTTAAGGGGTGGGGAGAGTCTAGGGAAAGAAATTAGAGGAAGGGTGGCTGACTCAGAACAGCCTTTAAAGCTGGAAATGGGACAACTTCTCAGGGCAGACAGGAAATAAGCAGCTCTCTTCCCTGGCCACCGAGGCGCGGGCTGCCTTTATTCCTGGGCAGCTCAACCCAGCAGCTCACACGGATCTGAACTGCTGTAAATTACCCATGGGAAGAAGCACGTTATTTAATGTTTGCAGCAAGCCTGAAATGGTTTCAGCTACACAAGCACATGGATGCATTTTGTTTCATATCCAGGTTCCTTAAAAACAAACAAACAAACAAATGCAAGTTGAGTTTGAACTTGAAGAACAGCTCATTAATAATGTCCTGGCTTCCTAGCAGGACTCTGACATTCTTTTGAGGAAATGATTGTTAAGACGTGTTTGCATAAGAGTCTGTCTCGTGGAATCTTTAGGAACCTTAGCATATAGAGAGCAACCCAAGGCAGGAGTTGGAAAATTTCCTGGAATGGGCCACGTAGGAAATATACTAGGCTTCCAGGGCCATTCCATCTGTGGAAAAGGACTCCGTTGCATAGCAAAGCGGCAGTGTTAGACTCTTTGTAAACCAATGAGCTCAGCTGGTCCAACAAAATGTTAACTAAGTAAAAAACCACTCTTATCTCATTTTAGCTGGACAAAACAGGTGAAGGGCTGAATTTGATCCACAAGCTATTGTTTGCCAGTCTATGACACCAAATTTTCCCTGTCTTGATCGGTGTTACCAAGTGTGTTGTGTGAAAAAGTTTTGTGAAGGTTTCGTCCTTTGCCAGCTCACTCTTCATGATTATGTATGCTTGCTCAAACCATATTTTATATCAATGTATTGATGTTTCGTCAAGAATGATACACATGTTTTTGAGCATTGGCCACCTTGATAAACAAGCTAAATATAGGATTACCTAGCCCCGATGTACAAACACCTGCTGTGAACTTGAGATGTACATAGCATAAAAGTTGTCAACGTGCTTATGTAAAACATAATTTATAAAAGCAGATGGTGCCTATTTAGCAGGAATGAGAAGTCACTGATGGGAATGAGATATTCTTGAGACAGTGGAGTGCCCAGGACGTCACAGACACCCAGCTAGCAAACAGACGGGACCTGACAAATTAACCGCTCACTCCACACTGGTCTTGCTGCCTTCCTGTGAATTCACAAAGCTAGCTGTGGACCAGGGCATACCAGCCATAGGCCATCTCTGGCCACTCATGGAGACCAGAGCAGAGAGAGATACCAGGCAATGCCCAGGGGGGCAGGTGTGGTACCTGCTACTGCCCCTTGTCCCTGGGAGCTCACAGAGCCATTCACTGGAGCCTGTTGAAGGCACCTAAGTGTGAGTGTGTGCAGCCGGGTGCTAAGTGCCCGGTGTTATCAGTCATCTCCACTCGGTGACATCCTCCAGCTCCGTCTTGATTGTAACGCAAGCCTAGCATTCAAATACAGCGCTGAGTTATCCAGTGCCAGGCAATTGTCACATCTGTTAGAAAGGAAGTGTTGACTCAACCCAGCCCAGGAACCGCCACCGAGAGTAAAAGGTCTCCGGAGATGGGATGGGGCCTTGTAAGTTATTTACATTAACAGTTGGTCTGCAACTGGAGTCAGTAGCTGATCCTTACTTCTTCAGAAATTCTTTCATTTATTCATTCCTTCCTCAACTTGCTCTCCCTGTACAACCTCACCCCCCATCTCCTGCTTCCTCCACCCTACCACACACGCACACGCACACACACACACACACACACACACACACACAAATGTGCACACTGTATTATTTTTCAGAGGGTCTAATTTAATTGCTGTGCATTTTAACTCTGGTTGAGATACTGTTTTGAAAGTGGAACAAGTCCATCCTTCCTCCTTAGCTTTACTGGGTTCTTGATGAAGGACATTGTTCTTGTTTTGATGCACTGTACAGATAAAAATGGCTGACTCGTATGATCTTCATGTATGGGAAACACACCGGCTGTGTGTCCCCAGGAGCCGTTTCTAAAGGGAATTCTGTCAGTCATTCCAGATTTTCCACTCAGCAGTGAACGAAAAGAGGATGGTTTTCCACCAATAGCAGATGTGAGATTTGTATTCTAATGTCCCAGTTCATGGTCTTAGGCATTCAGGATTTACTGCCCCTTGTTATGTGAGACAATTTGAAATCTACATCCCAGTGTGCAGTAATCCATTTTCTGTTACTGTAACACAGTCTCCGGGCAGGACACTTTATAAAGAAAACAGGCTTATTTAGCTTGTAGTTCTGGAGATTCAAGAGCCTGGCAGCAGCATGGGCTTGGCTCTGGTGAGGACCTCCTGGTTGATGCTGTCGTAGTAGGAGTGTGCAGAAGAGAGACGAAGGGAGAGAGGGATCACTCCCCAGGACAGGAGGCCTTGTTCCTTCGCGTGATGACCACGCAAGAACTCACCAGGGTCGCATGAGAGACACCTTAGTCCATTTCCATGGGGAGCATCCCCATTGGCTGTCCCTGAGTCCCATCTCTTCAAGGTCTCACCATTCCCTAACTTGGCCGCACTGAGGACCAAGCATCAACCATCAACCAGACCGCAGCACCGTGGTTTATGTGAGCACCATGGAAAATGAGGAAAGAAAATCCCTTCAGTGATGGATTTCAAAGTATGTCATACGTTCTGATAAAGTGGGCTTCTAAACTCTTGCCGAACCCCGAGGTGATTTAAAAATTTATGTTTATTTACTTTTATTTTGGGGAAGGTACTACTTTGATCTAACTTTGCTAACATACTCATGCTTAAAGGCCAGGGAATTTCCAGGATAATCCATGGCAGTTCCTATCAGTGAATTTTCCTCTGCATTAACGTTCCTTCCCAAACAGTTGTTATTTGACCTGCCGGGGTTGGTGTGCCTGACTGGGGCGTGGAGGCCAACTTGCTCATTCTCACTGTGCAGTGGTCCGCCTGGGAGGTTGACTAGCGTTTCCTTTTTTCCCCCCGCCTCCCTCTGTGACTGTCCTCTGGGTGGGCTCTGAACGAAATCCCGAGAAGGAAGAACTCATGATGCGATGATGTAAGTTCAGTCCCTCCACGCAGACTGAGCAGCGTGTTCGGCACGCACAGGGAGGTTCCCCCAGCCCTCACCCTTTCAGATCGATACTGTTCGTCCGAGAGGGGCAGCAGCACCTTGCGAAATGTGTCCTCTCTGAAGAGAGCCGGCACAGGACGCACGTCGGGGACCCTTGGACCTGAGTTCCCTCCTGGCCTCTGCTTCTGCACGCTGAGAACACGGCCGTATGAGGGAAGCCGTGCAGATGGCTCTCCGCGCTTTTCTTAAGGGTGCTGCACATCGTCCGTTTGGTTGAAATAAGCAATGGATTTGCTTAGGTTTTGTTTGTGTTTGGTTTGGTGACTGAGCGCCAGAGGCCCGCCTAGTGGCACAGCTAGTTAAGCTGCCCCCTTTGATGCCAGCATCCTATTGTTTGAGTCTTGGCTGTTCCGCTTGCGATGCTGCTCCCTGCTGAGGTGCCTGGGAACGCAGTGAAAGATCGCCAAGTCACTGGTTTCCTGCTGCCCGTGTGGGAGATCCAGGCAGAGTTCCAGGCTCCTGACCAAGAGAGGGAGAAAACAGAAGATCTTTCTGTTTGTCCCTCTCCTTCTTTCATATTTATTTACTTCTTTGAAAGGCAGAGTTAGAGAAAGAAAAACAGAGAGAAAAATATTTTCCACTTGGTTGTGCATTCCCTAGATGGTTACAGTGACCGTGTCTGAGCCAGACCAACGCCAGGAGCCAGGAGCTTCTTCCAGGTCTCCCGCGTGAGTGGCAGGGGGCCCAACCATTTACATTATCTCCTGTTGCTTTTCCCAGAATAGGGAACTGGATCCAAAGTGAAGCAGCCATCAGCACCTGAACAAAATGTGGTATGTCAGCTTTTTACCCACTACAATGCAGTTCTGACCCCCCAATAAATGGCTCTTGATAAAAGAGTATCAGTTCTCCCTGTCTTGGTGAGCATGGTAAATTATGTGAAGTTGGGCCTGACGCAGTAGCCTAGTGGCTAAGGTCCTTGCCTTCCATGCGCCCGGATCCCATATGGGTGCTGGTTCTAATCCCGGCAGACCCGCTTCCCATTCAGCTCCCTTCCCTGTGGACTGGGAAAGCAGCCAAGGATGGCCCAAAGCCTTGGGATCCTGCACCCACATGAGACCTGGAGAAAACTCCAGGCTCCTGGCTTCTTCTGATTGGCTTAGCTCAGCTTTGACCACTGTATCCACTTGGGGAATGAATCAGAGGACGGAAGATCTTTCTGTCTCTCTTCTTCTCTGTATATCCGACTTTCCAATAAAAATTTTTTAAAGATCTTTTAAAAATTCATGTGGAGTCATCACCACATTTTGTTTTTATTGGCTTTGTTTTGATATTCAACGTGGGGGACCTTTCTCATCCTGCCGGCCATATTTCTCTTTGCAATCTCTTTCCCTTGTCACCTGCACTTCCTCTGTCCACCTTCCCAGCCAGCAGCCAGACCTGCTGTGCCCGTCGGCGTAGTACTCCGCGAACTCTGGTGGCAGCGCTTAAAATGAATAACAGTTCCTTTTGCCGCATCGAAACACCCTGCAGTCTCCAAGGGGAACAGCCACGGGAGCATGCGTGGTAGGGGGAGAAGCTAGTGCCCCTTCAGGCACCTTGCAAAGGGACTATTTTTCTTACTTGATATAAATGAAATCTTCACTCTGCCCACTATTACACCTACGCATGTACTGAGCGTCGTCGCCAGGGAGACCAGGACACCCGGCGTCCAGTGATGGTGCGGCGCGGCAGAGCCAGGCGGCTGGCATCTCGGGCGGCTCTCCCGGGCCACTCGGCGTCCGGATGCCCCGCTCAGACAGCCCCCTTTACCCATCTCTCTGCCTGCACATCGCATCTCAGGCGCTGGGGAGTTCAGGAGGCAGGTGATCTGCCAGGACAGGCTGGGAGCCGGCCGTCTGCCAGAGGAAGGTGGCACAGTGCTTCCACCTTGCTGAGATCTTGCCTTTGTCACCCATTTTCCCACGCTGCCTGTGCACGTCCCCCTCACAGGAGCGCCACTCAGCCCTGAGAATCTTCACCATATTCTTTGTCACAGGGGGTACGACCGTGATCCTGGTCCTTCTAGAAGTGCAACTCCTGGAGGGCCAACATTTTTAGGTGTCAGTTTCTGAATACTAGGCTGCTTCAAGGCTTGGTTTTCCCTTTCTCAGAAATTCCAGACTCGGAACCACCCCCCCACCCCACCAGCCTCTCTTTCTCTTCCCCTTAGCTGTGCCGCTGTAACTTCTTATGTCTAATTGCTTTCATAGATGAAGACTTTTCTCATCTTTGGGAAACACTGATCTTTTTAAAGATTTATTTATTTTTATTGCAAAGTCAGATTTACAGAGACAGAGAGGAAGATCTTCCATCTGCTGGTTCACTCCCCAAAGTAGCCGCAACCGCTGGTGCTGCGCCGATCTGAAGCCAGGAGCCAGGAACTTCTTTCGGGATCTCCCACACGGGTGCAGGGTCCCAAGGCTTTGGACCATCCTCCACTGCTTTCCCAGGCCACGTGCAGGGAGCTGGAAGGGAAGTGGAGCAGCCAGGATATGATCTGTCATCCTTATGGGATCCCAACACATACAAGGCGAAGACCATAGCCGCTAGGCTACTGCCCTGGGCCCTGGGAAACACTTTCTAAGACTGTACCATCAGTTCCTTGGGCTATGTTGATTACATCTTTAGGCACTATTTCTGCAAGGCCATTAATAGTTATCACATAGAAATGATCAGTGTCCTCTTCAGGGAGTCCCATTTTGTCTCTGAACACTTGAGAATGATATTTAATGAGTATTCATAACGTCTCTTCCACGTGCCTTCTTGGTTCTCAGCTTAATTGAGTCAAGAAACCCAGCTGGGACCCGGCATGGAGCCTTGTGGTGAAAGTGCCTGTATTCCACGGCAGAAGGCCTGGGTTCACGCTCCATCCTTGCTCCTGACCCCAGCTTCCTGCTAGTACGGGCCTTGGGAGGGGGCAGCGAAAGCTCAGGGGACTGCATTGTCGCTCCCTAGTTTCAAGCCAGCACCCCAACGCCCTAGCTCAGTCCAAGGTTTTACAGTTCCTTGGGGAAGGAACCAGTGAATGAACACGCTCTCCAACTGCCACTCAAATAGAAGCAAGTACTAATTAAAAAAAAAAGCGCCTTTTCCTGTGATTCTCTGGCACACGGTCTCCTCCTGCCGTCCTCTGTAGGGAAGGTGCGCCTGGTCATTACCCGGCCTTGTTTTTTGTTTCCTTTTGACTGCTGCGGTAATACAGCTGGTAGACCAGGCAGGCATCTCAGAAAGAAAAAAAAAAAAACCCAAGAGCCCATTCTGCATTCCGACTGGGGTTTTTATGGATTTGGGTATAAGCCCTCTGTTTGCGTCCCTCCACCATGTGTGAGATGTCTCCATGGATGGAGGGCTACCTGGGTGTGAAATTCCCTAAAGTTCTTCCGAAAACTTCCTAGTAGCCCCCTTGGTACAGTAGGGCAGATACGATATTTTCTAAGCTGACCTCAGGAAGGTGGTCCCCAGAAAAGACCCACCAAAATAGGGTCAAATTGTTATTGAACAATGTCAGGATTTTTGATATGTAAGTGCTGATTGGCCTGTCCATTTCTTCCCTCATTTAACCACACAGACGTTCCCATTTTCTTGGGCCCCTCTTAAACATACACACACAGACACACACAGATACATACACACACACACACACACAGAGTTTATCTAGCTGCCACATTCTTACCAGGGGTGAAATGAATGAAGATCCAACATCTGTATTTTCTTCAAGTGGACAAAGGGGTTCTAGACCTGCGCATGAGTGTTCTCTTTCCCATGCTATTCAAAGGTGGCCCGGGAAAAAGATTGTCTTGTGCCATCCAGAGGGCTGGTCACTTTGACCAGCTGTTTTAAATTTTTAATGACTTATTTTGTCAATTATTTGAAAAGCGGAGAAACAGGGAGACACACACAGAGGAAGAGGCCTCCGTCTGCAGGTTCCTCCCTCTCCACCATGACTGTCGGTGCTGTGCCAGGATGCCGCCAGGAGCTCCAGCCTCCATCAGGAGTGTCTGGCACCCAAGCACTTGGGCCGTCGTGCACTGCCAGGTGCGTTCGCAGGGAGCTGGGTTGGAAGAGCAGCTGAAACGCCAATTGGTGCTTCAGTGTATACAGGAGCAGCAGTGACTCAGTACACTACTCCTCAGCACCTGCCCTCGGCAACAGTGTTTTGACAATTCATATCCTCATGAATGTTTACGGATGACAATTCTCGTTCTCAGTTAAGCTTTTAGAAAAGATTGCTCAGTCCTACGTCCAACACTTTCGAAGGTTCTCCTGTTTTTTGTCTGCCTTACCCGCTAGTCATAACTACCTCTCCCATTCTATCTTTACAATAAAAAAAAAACACTGCATACTATAAACATGAAAGTATTGTTTTGCATTGGAAAATCCTGGTTTATTCATAACGTGTCTGCAAACAATGGTTTGAAGTTGTATTTGTTGAGTTTTTCTCTTCTACGATTTGTGGTCCTCCTGAATATGTGCTGTCTGATGGATGCTTTCAGTATAACCCTTCCCATGGTGCCATGGCTTTGCTGTGTGGGCACCCCTTAACTTTTCTTCATGTACTTCCTTGCGGATAACTTGATTTCCCACTTTTCTCCAAGAAAACCGGGGGAAGCTGAAGGGACTTTGGAAATGGGCCATGTACTGTCCCCTAAGTTTCTGTCCTTGCCATCCCCCCTCAAAGCCCCAGACATTCCTATTTTCAACTCTAATGGCAGATTTAAGGGGGAACATGGGGTTGTCTTAGGTGGCTGGGTATACCTAAGAAACAGAATGACACTGGCCAAAGCAAGAGAAACATAAGCTAATCCTGGAAAGTGTTCCTAGCTTGTTGGGAGGTTTTATGTGCTGCTGTTTCATTTTGCCTGGAAATGGAACTGTCAGGACCCAGCCCATCATCAGCTGCACTCCCTGGAATCTTTCTGGTGAGCAAGTCCCCAAGCCCACATTGTGGTAATGCAGTTTTCTCCCATTTTCCTCCCAGGCTCTTCAGGTGGCAAGACAGCTCCTTCTGCAGCAGCAACAGCAGCAGCAGCAACAGCAGCAGCAAGTTAGTGGATTAAAATCTCCCAAGAGGAATGACAAACAACCAGCCCTTCAGGTGACAATTCTTTAAAAAAAAAAAAAAAGATGTTCTGCCATTTCGGATTCCTGATAAGCAATTTCAAAGAGAACTGTGTTGAACATTTCAAGTCCCATAGAAAAATCTTCTAAGAAAGATGCACTTTGTCCTTCATTAGCAGAGGATGTAGTGGGGGTGGGGACCGGTGTCCATTTGAGCAACAGGTGTGCTGTGCGGAGGGAGAAGCCTTACTGATGCGCTTGTGTCATAGGAGGATGAGGAGCCACTGGTGTAGGATTGCTTAGTAGGTAGTTCCGCTGAAGAGAAGAAAACATAGGACCCCGGCAACATGGATGCTTCACAGAAATGGAGCTAAACGATCAGTCTGGGTCAACAGTCAGCCTAGCAGAGAAGATTCTGGGTGAAATGGCTGCATCCTGTGCTGGAGTGCCTGGATTCAACTCCCGGCTCTGGCTGCGGCTCCAGCCAACTGCCACTGCAGACCCTAGTGGTAATGGCTCAGATAGCTGGGTCTATGCCACCCTGCGTGGACACCCGGACTGAGCACCTGACCCATGGCTTTGACCTGGCCTTTTTGAACCAAGGTATATTTTTAGCTCCAACGTCCTCCAACAGTGAAGCATCTTTCTGATGGGTATAGAAATGGAATAAGTGCATACTCCCCTCCCCGTTGTGTACCGTGCTCATTTTGCAACAGGAAGTATTATTGGGCCCCCCTCCAGGGGAGAAGAACTGGGTGGAGGTATTTTTGACAGGGTTGTATTAGCATATCATGGATGGAGGCCGGAGATGCTGCTAAATTTCAAGATGTTCCCACACAACATAAATAATTAGCATCCTGCAATGACAGTAGCCAGGAAGCGACACTGGGCCTGTGGACGATGTGGTCGTTTTCAGTACCGTGCCTAGTAACGAGTGTGATATGTGCCCTGTTCTCCAGCAGGTGTCTTTTAGGATGTTTCTGAGCTATTAATACCAGATGGAGAGCAGTTTCTCTGTAAAGATACCAAAGAGATTGTTCCAGCCACTTCTCATTTCAGGCACATTGAGGGCAAGCAGTTAATGGAGTAGAAGAAGGAGTGAGTTCATAAAAATCTAATTTGGATGTTTTATTTGAGTAGAAAGTTGTAACAGAAATTTCAAGGAAACCTGACTCAGAGTGTCCATGCTCATATTCAAGGTCAGCGGTTGCAGGTTCTGGGGTGGTTAAAGGACCTCCAAAGCTGGGGCGAGCATCCCCCAGGTGGGAGGCTGATGAGATTCTGAGGGTGGGCATTTGGGGGGGACAGATTCTGTGAGCAGTAGGCGATGGGTGTAACTCAGTGCCAATCATTCTAATCCTAGGATGAAGCTAAATTCTAGCCTGTGTTTTCACGGGTCAGGGTGAACCAATATCAGTCCCCAGATTATCCTGCAAAGAGCAAACTGATCTTAGGCAGAAAGTTCTAGTTCCGTAGCTACCTGGGCAACTGTGACTCCCCAGAGAAAGTTGGATACTTTGTGGATGCCTTATTGGAGAAGAAGTTGAATGGCACTGCCCACTGCTGACTAACGCTTCTGGACGCAGTAATTTGGTAAACCATCACCGATCTCTAGGCCTTTTCATGTGTGTGAATGCAGGGGACGTTTTTAATGAGGTCCAGCACCATTGAGGGCCCGTGGCAGGTGCTATCAGAAGCGCTTTGTTGCGCAGGTATCTTAAGAACAGCTCTGGAGGGTGAAATGTGACTGCGTTGACCTTTCAGCTGTGAGCTTATTTGTCAGGATTCAAATAAGTTGAAAGGATCAAACCGAACAGTTTCTGTAGTCAGCCTGGGAATTGTGTTTCAGAGGTCAGCAGCGGAGGCCACACTGCAGATTCCGTAACATAGCCAATTGTTGGTACATATTAAAGTACCGGGGCATCTCCTGCAGTCAGAGACACAATTAAAATTCTAATTTATTAATGTATACAGGGAACTAGCCCAGCCTGTCACTCAGTGATTCAAATGACTGTCCATTCGTTTTGCCTCCCTCTTGGGGCTCTCACAGTCTTAAAAATACCGTGAGTCCTCTTGAATTTATCAGACCTCAAGTGCGTTGGAAGATGACAATATATTACTGGCGGGGAATCCTCTCCATAGTAGAGCTTTGGTTAGAGGTAATAAAAAAAAAAAAGTAGACACATGCAAGTCTGTCTGATCATACTGCTCCTCGGTATCGAATATCATTTGTGATTTTTTTTTATGCTAGATTTATTTTCCCTCATGCTTGCTTTTTTTTAAACATATGGCATTTTTAGGTAACTTCTTTTCAAAGATGAATGAAATTTCTTGAGGGCTAAATTTAAGAAGCAAAGTGGCAGGGGATTTCCTTTTGAGGACTTCTTATCATCTTGCCCGTGTAGGGATGTTAGCCATCATTCCAAAGAGAATATCGACAGGGCATCATCTTGGCAAGCGCAGGGTCCAAGCCAGCCTCACACGGCGTGCAGAGCATCTCGGATTTTGGAGAGGGGAGGAAGAAGGGACCATCTTAAAGGCTGGTTTTGCTGCAGAAGGTGCCTTGAGTCTTTGCTGCCCTCTAAGCTGAGTGGAGCTTTGACAAGGAAAAAATGCAGACCGGTTTTAAGAGTTGGCTGGGGGCAGAAAAGGACTGGTTGACCAGACCCATGTGTGCGCACACACGAGCATCTATGGCTCAGAGCTGCTGAGCGTGCCCTCCACTGCCCGCTGCATGCAAATTCAGTAAGCTTGATTAGCTTGGCCAGGGTTCCACAAACATCAAAGAGGAATGAGTAACCTAGGCCACAGGATCCGTTAGCTCATCCCCAAAACACATCTAGAGAAAGAATAACCTTTACATTTAAATGTATCTTGCCATGCTCTGTCCTTGCTGGGGTATCACACCCAGAGTGACTCTGAAATGAAAGGGAAATCCTACAGCCCATCTTAAACAGTTTCCACGTCTGATCTTGGTACCCTTTGTCACCAGAACTGAGAGGCCTATTGGAGCGAATTTCAGAGCTTTGTAGAGGAAGGCTTGACGGATTTGATCTGCTGATAGCTGGAAAGGGGTGGCGGTGGAGAAAGAGACCCAAATCCTCAAATATACTGTGACTCATATTTTAAGCATATCTCACACTTCCCTGCTTTATGTTTGGCAGTGCTATCTGGTTTCACAGGCAGATGATACAAACAAAAGAAAATGGAAAGTTAAAAAGAGGCTAGAACTGGTTACTCCATAGAGATCATAAACTGTGGTCAAGCATCCCTGCTTTGGACTAATTTCAGGGAGACAAGAATAAATGAGAGAGAAGGAGCAGGAACATAGACGTTCTGAACCAAGCCAGAGCCGGCCGCGTGCCTGGCTGCCGTGACGGGTTATTAATGGAGGCATCGATTGAGTATAGATACAGCTTCTAAAGTTCTTGAGAAAGATTCCTCTTCGGAACCCACGTCGCCTTTTTAGTCTTATTAATTTGCTTTGCAGATTTTTTTTTTTTTAATGAATGATACAAACGAAAATTGGAAATGGGCCCCATTGTAAATTCAGCCTCAGGATGATGTGAATTAATTAAATGCGGCTTGGTGAGTCCTTCCAGAACCACCAGCACCACCACCGTGCTGGGCACGGTGCTGGTGCTGACAGGACACAAATCCATTGAGGATACAGACCTTGCCTTTAGAAGGCCTATGGGTTGTAAAAGAATTAACAAGGTTTTCCTGAAAAAAAAAAAAAAAGAAATTATAGGTGAGTAAAAATAGTAGGCTCCCTTTTATAAATATTTATATACTTCTGAAGATTGCTTAAACAAGTGAAATAAATGCTTAACGGTGCAGGTGCGCTCATAACCTCGAAAATGTGTAACACTACTGGCTGAAGATTAATTTGTGAGTAGATGAGCAATTTTATTGATCACATTTTGGAACGTTGACCGTCGTTTCTAGGGAGTAATGCATTTTGGTTCTTTAAGTATTTTCGTTGCTGGCACGAATACACACACTGGAAGGAAATCAAATGACACATTTTCTCCTAAGAAAGGAAAAGTACATGTGTATTCTGGCAGCGTGAAAGTTAGGAAAGAAAGTAAACCTTGTGTGGCGCATACGTTGCAAAGCTGACCACAGTTTCAAGAATTTGAACTTGAAGGCAGTCATCTGATCATTTTTCGCTCCTGCCTGCGCCCTGCCTTCCAAGGTTAGGGTCACGTGCAAGGCCCTGGCTAGGGGTTGTTTCAGTGGGAGGGACTGCGGTAGGTGCCACAGGAAGACCAGCCCTTCGGCCTGTTGGAGCAGAAAGGATTATAACGGGGGGCTCCTGTGTTCAGTGGTGGAGGTTAGACTACAAGATGCCGCAGGTGTTTTTAGCATTTTTATTTGCAGTTCGATAAAACATGCTTTAGGCAGCATTTTTTGCATTGCATTAATGCCACATATAATCTTAGTACCTCCTGTCATTTTCACAATGTTCACTGAGGAATAAATTGGTACGAGGAAGCATTTAAAGGGAGCTACAGTTTTATATGGTAGATAGTGAAATGGAATGTTGTTGAAATATGACCCTTAAACAGTATCACCATGTCCTAAATTAGGACGATGGGTAATTCAAGAGCAACAATTTCTTTCTTGTTTTTTTTTTGTTTGTTTTGTTTTGTTTTAATTAACATTTAGAGTTAACATTGTCTAGAACTGTCATGCCTGGCACTTTAAATTGTTAGGAAGTGTGGAGACCTTAGTACCTTTTAAGATTTCATCATTGCCATAAGACTTTGGATAATCTTGAATCCCTGAAAAAGCAGTCTTGATATGGACCAATACAACAGAAACAGTCCTTTAAAGGTGGTCATTATGTTACTATGATTACACAAGCCATTAATATGTGCACCAGAGGTAGTGACACCCTCTCCCCCTGCCAGGAAAGTCTGAACACACAGGATTTGTGACTTTAGTGTAAGGGCTTTTGTGAACCCCAAGAGGTCCAGGTTTCTCTGTGTCCTGGTCGGCTCAGGACAGTCCCGGTCCATGCCTGTTGCGTAT